CCTGCCCTCAAGGAGATTACATTTTATTGGGAAAGGGGAAGTAACATGAACACAGATAGATAAATGCAAAATATATGGAAAGTAAATTCATAGAAATAGAGGAGGAAGGGGCAGCTAGACGGCACAGTGGAGGGAACACTGGCCCTGGAGACAGGAGAACTTGAGTTCAAATCCAACCTCACACACTAGCTGAGTGACTCTGGGCAAATCACTTCAATTGTCTACAAGAAAGAAATAGGGGAGGGAACCAAACACAAATGTAGTGATCACAATAGTCTTGTGGCACTTAGGCTAAGCCTTGAAAGAGCTTAAGCATTCCACTAGGCAAAGGTGTCTTTTTTCTCTTTCTTTCTTTCTTTCTTTCTTTCTTTCTTTCTTCTTTCTTTCTTTCTTTCTTCTCTCTCTCTCTCTCTCTCTCTCTCTCTCTCTCTCTCTCTCTCTCTCTCTCTCTCTCTCTCTCTCTCTCTTTCTTTTTGTAACATTTAATTTTTTCTCAATTCCATATAAACCAAAAAATTTAACATTGGTTTTTTAAAAAATTTGAGTTCCAAATTCTCTCCCTCCCTTCTCTCTCCCCCCCACCCCTTGAGAAGGCAAGCGATTTAAGAAATGTGTTATAGGGATTAGGAGACAGCCTGTGCAAAGACACAGGGATGAGAGATAGAGAGGCCTATATGAGGAAAGGCAGGTAGGCCAGCTCATCTAGAATCCAGAATACATACACAGGAGGCTGAAGCCAGATCAGAAGAGTTTTGAATGTCAGATAAAGGAGTTTGTATTTTATTCAAGAGATAATTGGTGCTTACCATTTCAGGGAAGAAAGAGGGAAGAGAAGGAGGGAGGGAGGAATAGAATTTGGAACTCCAAACTTTTTTTTAATGTTAAAAATTGTTTTTAAAAAACATTAAAAATTGGGGAAATAAAATATTATTTTTAAAGGGATAATTGGAAGCCACTGGAGCTTCTTGAGCAGGTGACTGATATTGTTAGACCTCTGCTATAGCAATATCATTTTAGTAACTTGACAGAGGATGATGTGGAGACAGGAGGAGCTCAAGGTAAGGAGACCAATCATTCAAGTAAGAAGTGGTGAGAACAGAAGTGAGGGTGGTTGTGGTGTGAATATTGAAAAGAGATGGACGCAAGACAGAACTGGTATATTAATGCAAAGTTGGTGGAGCTGTGAACTGGTCCAGCCAGTTTGGAAAACAATTTGGAACTATGTCCAAAAATTGATTAAACTGGGCATGCCCTTTGACCCAGCAATACCACTCCTACATGTGTACCCCCAAAGAGATCTAAGAAAACACCCATATGTATTACAAATTTATAGCAGCTCTTTTTTTGGTAGCAAAGAATTAGAAACCAGAATTTGTTCAGCCATTTTCCATTTGATAGGAAAATGACTGAACAAAGTATGGTATTAGAATGCAATGGAACACTATTGTGCTGTAAGAAAAAATGAAGGTGATGGTTTCGGAGAAACCTGGGAAGACTTGTATGAAGAGATGCAGAGTGAAGTGAGCAGAACTAGAATGATGATTTATACAACAATATTATAGACAATTTAGGAGCTCTGATCAACACAGTGGTCAACCACGATAAACAGAAACATGCTACCCAACTCCTGATAGAGTGCAGATTGAGGCACACACACACACACACACACACACACACACACACACACACACACATATACACACACACACACAATTGGACATAGCCAATGTAGGAATTTGCTTTAATTATCAACGTTTGTAATAAAGGTTTTGTTTTTCTTTATTTCTCAATTTGGATATAGATGGGAGGCAGATTTTCATCAACTGAAAAAAAAATAAGACATTGAATTGATAAGATTTGACAATTGATTGGCTATGAGAGGTGAGGGAGAGTGAAGGATGGGTGAGTGGAAGGACAGTACTGCTCTCAACAGAAACAGGGAAGTTAAGAGTAGGGGAAGGTTTTTGAGGAAAAATAATAAATTCTGTTTTGGATATGTCATTAAGATGTTTAAAGGACAGTGTCTGGTAAGTACTTAAAAATGTTTGTTGACTGACTAATAACCTATTAGAAATGTCTAATAGGTAGTTGGTGATTTGTAAGCCTTAAAGCTTTAAGGATTGCAAATCATTTTACATACATTATCTCATTATCTCTGGGAATTATGCTTAGAGATGACAATTGGTCTTTGGAAGCTCTTTTTTAAAAACTTATTTATTTATTTTTAGTTTTCAACATTCACTTTTTTTCTTCTTTCTCTCTCTCTCTCTCTCTCTCTCTTCTCTCTCTCTCTCTCTCTCTCTCTCTCTCTCCTCTCTCTCTCTCTCTCTCTCTTTTTTTTTTTGCTTTTTAGTGAGGCAGTTTGGGGTTAAGTGACTTGCCGAGGGTCACACAGCTAGTAAGTGTCAATGTCTGAGGTCATATTTGAACTCAGGTCCTCCTGACTCCAAGGCTGAAGCTCTATCTGCTGCGCCACCTAGCTGCCCCTCAACATTCACTTTTGTAAAATTTTGAGTTCCAAATTTTTCTCCTTCCCCCTCCCCAAGATGGCATGCAATGTGATATAGGCTATACATACATAATCATAGTAAATATATTTCCACGTTAGCCATGTTGGGAAAGAAGAATCAGAACAAAAGGGGAAAAACCACAAGAAAGAAAAAAAGAGTAAATAGTATGCTTCGATCTGCATTCAGACTCCACAGTTCTTTCTCTGAATGTGGATAGCATTTTCCACCATGATTCTTTTGGAATTGTCTTAGATCCTTGTATTGCTGAGAAAAGCTAAGTCTATCAAAGCTGGTCATCTCACAATGTTGCTGTTACTGTGTACAATGTTCCCCTGGTTCTGCTCACTTCACTTAGCATCAGTTCATGTAAATCCAGGTTTTTCTGAAATCTGCCTGCTCATCATTTCTTATAAAATAATAGTATTCCATTACATTCATATAACACAATTTGTTCAGCCATTCCACAACTGATGGACATCTCCTCAATTTGCAATTCTTTGCCACTGCAAAAAGAGCTGCTAAAAATATCTTTGCGTATGTGGCTCCTTTTCCCTTTTTTATAATCTCTTTGGGATACAGACCTAGTAGTGGTATTGCTGGATCAAAGGATATACATAGTTTTAGATTCCTTTGGTCATAGTTTATGGAAGCTCTTGATATCAGCAAGAGAGATAGATAGACAGATAGACATTTAAATAGAAAGACAAAGCATTTATTAAACATTTATTACTTTCCAGGCACAGTGCTAAATATTGGGGATACAAATGCAAGCAAGACAAATCCCCTGAACTCAAGGAACTTACATTCCAATGAGGAAGACAAAACATATAGGAGAACTGGAAAAGGGGTTTGGAGGGCATGCATCTCTGTGAGAGAAAGTGTCCATAGGCAAGAGAAGGTATATTTGTACCTACCAGGTGAATGAAATATGGGTGATGATTCAACAAAGAGTGGCTAGGAAGGTTTGGAGAAACGACAGAGAGCAGTGTAGAGATGTTAGGAAGACCCAGAGGAAAGAGAATCCCGCAGGGGGTGGTCAGCAGTAAATTGTGCAGAGAGGTCAAGAAGGATGAGGACTGAGAAGATTGCCATTTGGATTTGGCAATCAAAAGAACGCTGGTAACCTCGGAGAGAACAGCTTCAGATGACTGATGAAGTATGGTGCCAGGTTGCGAAGGGTTGTGAAGTGAGAGAGGAGAGGAAACAGAAGCAAGGAGTGTAGATAGCTATAAGTTTGGCTGTCTTGGCTAATCGAATAATATGCAATAGCTTGAAGAAACAGTAGAATCAAGTGAAGTTTTTAAGGACGTTGGGGATTTGTACATGTTTGTAAGCAGCAACAGGGAGCCGGTAGATGAGAGATTAAAGGGGGTGGGGGTGGGGGTGGGGCGAGGCTCAGAGTAAGCTGTTAGAGGAGCAAAGAGGGAATGGGATCAAGGGCAAAAGTGGAAGGGATTGTTTTGGGTTGCTCTTCTTCCTTCTCTACACGCTGGAGCTGGCATAGGAACCATATATGGTCCAGGCCAGGAGAAAGTTAGAGGGTCTTAGCAGGTGGGAGAATGAGTACTCGCTTGCCAGATGTCTCCGTTTAAGGAAGAATTAGTTCCAAGGTGATGACCTTAAGGAGCTGAAAACAGACAGACTTGTGGGGAGATGAGAGTGATGATTGACACAAGTGAAACCACCCTCTCCCCCATTCCGCCGGCTACCCCCAGTGAAGATATCAACTCAGCCTTTCCTTAGCTAGGCAGTCTAGCTAGGGGGTGCCCATCCCCTACGGGTCAGTCCAGTGAGCCCTGAAAGGCGCTGAGACGCCTGACTTAGCTCCCCATCTCTGGCTCTCCGAGCTTAACTTTCTAATGTCTCTAAGGAAAGGCTACCACCCCTCACGCCCACAACCGAATGACTGTCAGGGGACCTGAGTTCTAGTCCTGATCTTTCTATGTGTCATTGGACAAGCCCCTTCCCACCCACTCCTCTTCTAGGCGTCTTTCCTTCTCTCTAAAAATGAGGGGGTTGGGCTCTAAAGTCCCTTCAAGCTCTTCTACATCGTACGATCTCCAGCTAAATGGGTCTAGGAGCAGCTGGAGAGGGGAGGAGCGAGCAGCTGGCGGAATAGCCAGTAGAACGCAGACCCAGGAACAGCCCCGCCTCGGAGGTAGCTGCAGCAGTAGAGGAGGTACTCCAGCTGACTCGGGCACCGAGAAGGACCAGGAGCTGTGCTAACCTCTGCGCTTTAGCGCAGCCGTCGAGGTTCGGACTGTGGATGGACTCTGAGGCTTGGAGGGCTGGGGCAGAGAACTACGGACCGCTGGGCGGCAGGCTAGAGTCGGGGATCCGTCGCGTAGCCCGGCTACTTGATCAAAGTCCAGGGGTGACTAGAGGTGGCGGTGAGATTGTGAGGAGACGGAGAGCCTCCGCCCCCCAAGCTATGAGGCTGCTCTTGTGAGACGACCCCCACTTCTGGCCCGGCCCGAGTCTTAGCTCACCATGAAGAGGCAGAACGTGCGTACCGCGTCGCTCATCCTCTGCACCTTCTCCTATCTGCTGGTGGGTGCCGCGGTGTTCGACGCGCTCGAGTCGGAGACGGAGAGCGCCCGGAAGCGGCTCTTGGAGCAGAAGCGCAGCGAGTTTCGCAGGAAATATCGCTTCTCGCCCGAGGACTACCGCGAGCTGGAGCGCCTGGTGCTGCAGGCAGAGCCGCACCGTGCCGGCCGCCAGTGGAAGTTCGCCGGCTCCTTCTACTTCGCCATCACGGTCATTACCACCATCGGTGAGCGCACAGCCCCGCAGTCCCTGCTAGGAGGCCTGGCCTCCCTCTCCTTCCCCTCAGGAGCCCGGCGCCCCCACCTCTGTGCCCCAGCCCAAAGCCGATGGAGTAGGAGTGGAACGGGAGGAGGGGCGTTGGAAGACCGAGTGTCTGAAACTATTGGTTTAGCTATGAGTCCGAACCCCCGGGTTCGAATACTGACTCTACCGCTCGCCAGATGTGTATCCTCAAACTAGGCTTTTCCTGTCTGAATCTATTTCCTTCTCCTTATTTATGAAGGAATTACACTAAATGAACACCAAGTTTCCCATCAGTGCTAAATACGCTCCTGTATGAGTGGGCTGGTTTTTTGTTTTGTTTTTGAAGGGGGGAAGTTCCGGACCCTTACACTCTTCGCTTAATCGGCTTGCTGCTGCCTTGTCCCTTAGCTTCTTTCCTTTTATTGGGCTAAGACTGGGCACCTTTGTAATAACTTCATTGCCATGCAGACCAGGGAAGCCCAACTCAGCCCAGGATGAAGACCCAGTCACTCGGTAGTGACCGGAAAAGATGGCTTGGGTGGAGTAGGAGTGGTGGGAGGTGGAAGACTTTCTTTAGAGTCCAGTAGGAGGGCTAGGCGCCTCTCCTCTCGTATACTTTCAGCCCTGGAAGCTCTGTCTCTTCTTGCCTCCCTCACCAATCTATTGCTTGGAGAAAGTTTCCTTTTAAGGGAGCCTGGGGTCTCACTTTGGACTTCAGCCAGTACAGAGAAGACAACTACTGCCTTTCCTCTTCCTTTCTGAGCCTTCTCCCACCTTCAGCCCTCAGATGCACCGTGCTAGTCTGTCTCCCTGAGTGCAGAAATCTTTCTGAGGATTTGGACTCTAAAAACTTGTTACTGAAATGCAGGGCAGAATAATAGGATAACAGAACTGGAGAAGACAATCTGGTCCAAACTCCTATTTTTACAAACGAGGAAACTGAGATTCAAAAAGGAGAAATAACTTCTTTTTTATGCAAAGCAGCAAAAACTGGAATGTGAATCAAATAAGGTTTTCTAATTCTAACTTCAGAGTTTTTTCCACCTAAGACTTCGTTCCAAGTTAACTTTGCCTGTCCATTCCATGCCCTGTGACCCTCTCTCCCTCACCTTGGTCGTGGATATTGGCTCTTTAATGGCTTATCAACACCTCCTAAGTACCCAGGTTCTGCTGTGCCCTAAATACTTGAGACCCTGAGATCTTAGGGGTGGGGTGTGTGTGTGTGTGTGTGTGTGTGTGTGTGTGTGTGTGTGTCTAGGCCTGTCACATAATAGGTCCTAGCCAGGGTCTTAGAAAAGAGATAGATGGGGAGTGGCCCAGGTGAAATGGGGGAATGTTCTGTCTTAGCTCAGGGTGGACACTGGGCATTTGCTAATGATCCTGCTGGCCTCTGGCCTTTCCTAGGACTCTGCCCCCTTGGGAACCATGAGAGTCAACTATCCAGGCCAAGGGAGCCTTGAAGGAATGAGTGTTCACAGATTTTGTTTTATTCTCCATAGGATGAGGGCTGCATGGAGTGGGAATGGGGTGGGAAGGATATCTACAGAGACCAGAACTGTGAATAGTCAACTTATTTATGAGGAAGCACCAGTGACACTAGAAAAATGTTTTCTTTCCATTCTCAACTATTGCCCATCCTTAGCTGCTCAATGTATGCTTATATCTGCTATATTAAACACTCCCCAGCTCAATCCACCCTGTGTCCCTGTCAAGGTCTACCCGCTTCCTAATTTAATGCAATCAAAATGTATTAAGTTCCCACTTCGCTCAGGGCCCTTGGTTATGTTGGAGATATAAAGGAAAGACGGCAGGCCCTTGAGCTTTTGATCTAATACAGTGGCTACACAAATTTAAAGGGGAAAAGAAGGGATAGGTCAGACAGGTGTTCTAGGACAGTTTGGGGTGGGAGACAGCACTTTTAGTCGGGGAAGAGGATTGGAAAACTGGATTTTTGAGGTAGAAGAGACCTCATTTAGCCCACCTTTTGTTTTATGGATGAGGAAAATGAGATGACTTGCCTGAAGGCATACTATTAGTTAGTGAAAGGGTCTGATTGCGCCTGGCTCCAAAACCAGTTCGTTTTTCAATACAGCCACTCAAGGCCTCATGGGGGGGGGCACCTGGGCCTCCATCACCATGCCCTCCTTTCCCTTCCTCATATTTGCTCTTCCCTCCAGTTTCTCCAGGTATCACCTCTTGTCTAGGTTTTCCCCCTCTCCTCACCTCTTCTTCCTCTCCTGACACTCCTATCTACCCCTAACCCCTAGTCATTCTCCCATTTCTTTTTTACTTGTGCAGGGTACGGCCACACAGCACCGGGCACCGACGCGGGTAAGATTTTCTGCATGTTCTATGCCATCCTGGGCATCCCTCTGACACTGGTCACGTTCCAGAGCCTGGGCGAGCGCATGAATGTGCTGGTCCGACGGTTGCTGCAGCGTCTGAAGCGCTGCGCGGGACTTCGGAGGACTCAGGTGTCAACAGAGAACATGGTGGTGGTGGGGCTGCTATCGTGCGTGGGCACGTTGGCCATGGGCGCCGCGGCCTTCTCCCACTTCGAAGGCTGGACCTTCTTCCACGCCTACTACTACTGCTTTATCACGCTCACTACCATCGGCTTCGGCGACTTCGTGGCGCTGCAGCGTGACGAGGCGCTGCACAAGCGGCCACCCTATGTAGCCTTCAGCTTCCTCTATATCCTGTTGGGCCTGACCGTCATAGGCGCCTTTCTCAACCTCGTGGTCCTGCGCTTCCTCACCCTCAACGCCGAGGACGAGCGACTAGATGCCGAGGGTCGGGCCTCGCTGCGTCGGGTGCAACCCGGAGACCCCTTGAGACCTACACAGGAGGTCGCCCGCTGCAGCACTTTGCCTTCTCCAGATCCCACCCCCTTCCCTTGCCTCGGGGCTCGGAGCTGCAGGCGGTTGAAGCTGATCCGACCTTCCACTGCGGCGGCTTCTCCACCCCGTCAGCATGTGTCCCAGAGCCATCCCGAGACTCCTCCGCCGAGCTGTCATTCCAACCCAGTCTATTGCAGTTCCATTTCCTATCGGATCGACCAGTTGGCCCTGGGTGCCAGGTATAACCTCGGCTTCTCGCCTCCTGGGAGCACCACGTCCTCAGGCAGTGCTGTGGGCCGGGTTCCGAGCCGTCGGAAGTCTATCTGAGCTGTGGGTGTTGAAAAGAACGCCCGTATTTGGAGGCAGGAGAAGTGCTTTGGCAGGCTTACTCAGTGTGTGTGCCCTAGGGCGTCATGCTCTTCCCTGAACTTGTTACCTCGTCTATAAAAATGAGGGGGTTGTACTAAGATGGCAAGACATATTTAGAACTAGAAGAGACCTCAGAGGTGATCAAGTAGAATGCCCTTATTTTATAAGTGAGGAAACTGAGGCATATAGAGCTTAAAGGACTTGCCTCCGGTTACACAGGTGTTCAGTAGCCTAGCAAGGATTCAGATCTGGATCTTCTCACTCTAACATATATTTAATTAATTTATTTTAACATTTTAAAAAAAATTTTGAGTTAAAGTCTCTCCCTCCCCCACCCATTGAGAAGGAAAGCAATATAATATCAATTATACATGTGAAGTTATGCAAAACACATTTTAAAAATATCTACTTTAACATTCACTAAATTTTTTTGAATTGATCTTCTCACTCTAAATTCAGTGTTCTTTCTACAATATCATGCTAACTAAGGTGCAGTTTGGTTCTAATATTGTATGTACTATACCTAGTAATTCATTCTGTGATATTTCAAAAGTCACCACCCACTTTTTTTTTTTAACTAGCCCATCCTCAGCTGCACCTGCCTCTTCATTCTCCCTGATGACTATTTGCTAGGCTATCTGCTCAGTCATCTCTGTGAGAAAGTAGCTGGGGATCTTGCCAATAGCATATCAAATCCCAATTCAATTCAACAAATGCTTATTAAGCATCGGCTGTGTGGGATGCATTGTGCTAGGTGTAAAGTGAAAGAATTGAAAACTGTCCTGGGGGCAGCTAGGTGGCACAGTGAATAGAGCTCTAGCCTTGGAGTCAGGAGAGTCAGAGTTCAAATCCACCTTCAGACACTCAACACTTACTAGCTGTGTGACCCTGGGCAAGTCACTTAACCCTAATCGCCTCACCAAAAAAAAAAAAAAAGAAAAGAAACCTGTCCTTGCCTTCAGGGAGCTTATATTTTACTTGGAGATACAACAGGTAAACAGGTAATTACAATTTTAGGAGGGAAATAGCACTAACAACTAGGAGATTTTATTTTAGACACCAATTAACTACACTGAAGTTAGTGGTAGTAGTACAAATAGTATAGAAAAAGAGGCAGGTTCTAGTTCTGGCTTCTGGTCCCATGCTCCCTTGATCTTGGATAAGGTACTTTCCCTTTCTTAGAGTCAGTTTCTCCTTCAGTAAAACAAGCTTTTAAGACTATTAGCTTCTGAGATCAATTTCAGCACAAAGACTGAAGGATTATTAAGGAATCAGAAATCTTAGATGCTTTCTCACTTTAGGTAAATCAAGTACTGTCATTGAGCCTCCATTTCTTTGAACATCTACAAAAATGGAGATAACACCTGGAAGTCACATCTCCCTTCTTTGTTTCATTTTCCTCACCTTTACTAAAGTGAAGATAGTAAAGCCTTCCCTACAGACCTCATTGGGCCATTGTGAAGATCCAGTGACAGAATCACGGATATATAAATTCTTTGGGGCCAGCTAGGTGGCACAGTGGATAGACTACCAGCCCTGGATTCAGGAGGACTTGAGTTCAAATTCGGCCTCAGGCATTTAACACTTACTAGCTGTGTGACCCCAGGCAAGTCACTTAATCCCATTGCATAGGCCCTCCCCCCCAAAAAATAAGTTCTTTGTAAACCGGAGAGCTTTGTACAGATGGAAGAGAGTAGTCTCATCATTATACATTCATCTGGGGCCTGGGGAGCCAGTAAGGAGGTTTGGAGGAGGATTTGGGGGTAGAGAGAAGGGGGAGCCAAAGTATTTGGATTGACGGTGAGTGGGTGGCTGGTTAGCTGGCAGGGAAAGGGGTGGATATATCTCAGATTTAGTGTGGCAGGGAGCCTGCCATCTGGTGATTATGTCACTGATCCATGGCCCTTGGGAGGGCTGACAGGGAATGTGGGTGCAGGTGAGGCTTCTGAGATCTTGTCCTTTGCTTAGTCCGGGGCTCTGCTCTTCTCAGATTCCTGAACTGTTTTAATTTCTCCTTGGATTGAAAGTTTCTAGAGATGATATTTTCTGACTCTGTTTGCCACATCTAAAGCTCAGCTCCCACTGTTGCTGCAAAGGAGCTCTGCTGGCATAGACAAGAGGCCAAGGCTAGCCTTGTGTGCCAAAGAATAGATCATGCGTTAGAGAAGTAGGACTTGAATGAATGGTGGGCGAACCTAACTGGGGATGGAGGGGAAGTGCGCTAGACATAGAAGAAATGGATTTGACTTTGGCTAGGGCCCTTCAGAGAGTATGTGGACTATGCCAGAGGCTAGACATGGAGAGAGGGGCCCTAAAAATTAAAGTATTATGTCATGGAAAAAGCACTAGGCTGGGAATCAGGCAAGGAGCCTAAGTTTTTGGACTGGCTTTGTCTCTAACTTGCTGTGTGACCTTGGGTAAGTACTTTCCCTGGCTGGGCTTCTGTTTCTGCTTCTGTACAATGCGGGTAGATGGTCCCTAAGATTGAGTCCACCTCTAAAATTTCGTTATACTGCTCACCACATAGTGTCTGGGGGCTTTAGTTCCTAATGTCCTTGAGGAAAACCACATTGGTCTGACTGACGAGAATCCTACTGGGGAACTCCCTTTATGCTTTGTGATTTATAGAGGAGAGAGCAGGGTATTTGGGGGCTTATTCATAACCTGTGAAGGAGACACCAGGGAGGTTTGCCTGGCCTCCCCCATGTTATCCCTTAGGGCTTGCCAGGCAACAAGCATTTATTAATCACCTCCTATGTACTCAGCATTGTGCTGAAGAACTGGGGATACAAAAAGAGACATTAATAATACCTGACCTCATGGAGCTCACTGGGAGCTCAATGGGAGAGACAACATGCAAACCACTTTGAACAAACAAGACATGTACAGGATAACTTTGAGGGAATCTCAGAGAGAAGGCACTAGCTTTAGGGGGAGCCAAGAAAAAGCTTTGTGCAGAAGGTGGGATTTTAGCTGAGACTTGAAGGAAGCAAGAGTTGGAGTCAGGGAAATCATGGAGTCAAGAGATAAAATCTCACAGGCAAGGAAAAGCAAGATCAGTGTCACAGGATCAAAGACAACCTGGAGGTGAGTAAGGTATAAGAAGACAGGAGAGGTAGGAGGGGCCAGATCATGAAGGGCATGAAAAGCCAAACAGAGGATTTGATATTTGATCCAGGGGGTGGATCCCTGGCCCCAAAGCAGGTGGGGTTGGGGTGCTGATATTCTGTCTCAGCCCCCTTGAGCCAAAAACTGAAAACACAGTCCTTCCAGCTATAATCCTGATCTGGTGCTCCCAGACTGTCATCTCTTAGAATATGAGATCCTGATCAGACCTTAGGACATAAAAATGTTTGAGCAGGAAGGGCTTCTACAGACTATGCAGTCCACGACCTGTCCCTACCCTAACCCTACCATTTTACAGCTAAGAAAACCAAAGCCTAGAGAGGGGAATGATTTGCCTGAAATCATGTGGCAAGTTAGAGGCAGAGCCAGGGCTAAAATAAGGTCTCTTGATTGCCAATCAGGCCTCCTTCCACCTATTCATTACACTGTGTAGAACAAGGTTTTGTTTGGAAACATTAGTTTAAGTTGGAGACATGTTCAAGTGCGGTGTTGGGAGAGAGGTGGGGGGAGGGGAATGTCATCCATCTTTCTCTCCCTTTCACAATTATTCAAGTCTCACCTTTTCCCTGTGGCACTCCTTGATCATCTTTCCTTCAAGTTCCTTTGACATTTTATAGCTAGCACCTTAGAGTTCAGGGCAGCTAGGTGACTCAGTGGATAGAGTACCAGGCCTGGAGTCAGGAAGATAAAGACTCATCTTCCTGAGTTCAAAGCTGGCCTCACACACTTATTAGCTGTGTGACCTGGGCAAATCACTTTACCCTGTTTACCTCAGTTTCCTCATCTGTAAAATGAGCTGGAGAAGAAAATGGCGAACCACTCCAGTATCTTTGCCAAGAGAGCCCCAAAAGGAGTCATAAAGAGGCAGACGTGACTGAAATGACTAAATAGCAACAAGCTTAGAGTTTTACTCCTCCATTGTAACTGATGGCTGTCCCCAGCTGGACCTTTCCCAATCCTACTGCTTTAGGTTATGGGCTCCTTGAGGACCAGGCCTATTCATGACTTGTGAAGGATACATGAGGGAGGCCTCCTCCATGTTATCACTTAGGGTGATGAATATTTATTAATCACCTCCTCTGCAAAGAGCCTTGGAATCTTAGTAAATTGGGCTTTCAGTCAAAGGAACTGGGGATATTTAGTGCGGAGAAAAGATTCAGGGGGGATGTGATAGGTGTCTTCAGGTATTTGAAGGGTTGCTTCAAATTCAGGTTGACTAGTTCTGTTTGGCTCCAGAGGTCACAATTAAAAGTAATGGAAAGGCCATTTTAATGGACTTCCATATTGTTCCACTCATCATTATTTTTTTTATTTTTAAATCTTTAAATTTTATTTTATTTTATTTATTAATTTATTTTTAGTTTTTCAACATTCACTTCCACAAGATTTTGAGTTCCAGATTTTCTCCCCATCTCATCCCTCCCCCTACCCCAAGATAGCATGCATTCTGAATACCCTTCCCTTGATCATGGCTTTCAGATAGTCCAATAATTTTTAAATTATCTCTCCTGGATCTATTTTCTAGGTCAGTTGTTTTTCCAATGAGATATTTCACATTGTCTTCTATTTTTTCATTCTTTTGGTTTTGTTTTTACAATGTCCTGATTTCTCATAAAGTCACTAGCTTCCATTTGCTCCATTCTAATTTTTAAGGAAGTATTTTCTTCAGTGCCACTTTTGGACTTCCTTTCCATTTGGCCAGTTCTGCTTTTTAAGGCATTCTTCTCCTCATTGGCTTTTTGGACCACTTTTGTCATTTGAGTTAGGCTATTTTTTTACGGTGTTATTTTCTTCAGTATTTTTTGGGGGTCTCCTTTAGCAAGCTGTTGACTTGTTTTTCATGATTTTCTTCCATCACTCTCATTTCTCTTCCCAATTTTTCCTCTGCTTCTCTTACTTCCTTCTCAAAATCCCTTTTGAGGTCTTCCATGGCCTGGGACTGATTCATATTTTTCTTGGAGGCTTTGGATATAGGAGCTTTGACTTTGTTGTCTTCTTCTAGTTGTATGTTTTGATCTTCTTTGTTACCAAAAAAAGATTCTATGGTCTAACTTTTTTTTATGCAGTTTGCTCATGTTCCCAGCTAGTTACTTGAATTTTAAACTCTTTGTTAAGGTAGGGTTCTGCTTCCAGTGTGGAGAATGTACTGTTCCAAGCTTTGGGGGTTTTGTGCAGCTGTTTTCAGAGAT